TCTCGAAACAAATGTTGCAAAAAGTAGTATATTTTTTTTTATGTTTGAATGTTTAGTTTTCTTTATAAGGGTAAATTACTATCATAAATTACATAAAAAATTTTGATCTGTAATTATATACATAATGCTCAGTTTATAAAGAAACATAATTTACACAAAATTTTTGAATTGATTAAAACACTAATGAATTGCTCCTATGACCAATATAACTTACACTAAATTGTCCCATATCAATTACACTAGTGTTATCTTTTGAATTTAGAAATAGAAGTTACTAAATGTTGGTGGCTCCTCATGCAGTGCATTTGAGAAAAGCATGCTTTTAAAGTAAGTATAATTTTACTTTAAAAAAAGCATTTTTAATACTGCAATTTTATAGAAAACTTGATATACATAAATATATACGCTGGTCACAACAATCCAGTCAAAAATTTCTTTAAAAAATTAAATTTAGTGTTGAGAAATTTGTATTTTTGATGTTTGATGTTATGTTTATAAAATAATAAATATATATGTGTGTGCATGCGTGTGTGTTTGTGTTATTTATTTCTTTCCCCTTTATTTTTACATACTTATCGTGACAATATTTTTTTTGGGTTAAGACTGCTTCCCTGATTCCTACAGCAAAAAAAAACTTTAAAATGCTAGTGGCAATGTTTTAAAGAGTACACCTGATCGAAAAGAAGGTGAATGACATCAACTGTTCGAACATTCGATTCTTGAAAATTAAAAAGTGGAAGAAGAAGTTTATAAAATTGTTATTTATAAAACTCAGCACAATTATATTATTAAAAAATTTAAACGATTTATTATTTTATTTATTCTCAAGAAGTTCTGTGAAAACATAAATTTGAATCTTACGTTTAAGTAAAGCCATGTTAAAACACGTACTTTTGACGTCAAAATGAGAAGGTTTAAATTAGGTTATTTAAAGAGATAACTTAGTGTTTCCATTTAGCACTAGTTCTGAACGTCCTAAACTCGCGTCTTTGAGACGTCTAAAAACACGTCTTTATTCTGTCGTAAAAAAACGTCTTAATTACATCTTAAAAAGACGTCATTCGGCGTTCCCATTTAGAGCCATTTCCGGAAGTCCTAAAAAGACGTCCTTTCGACGTCATATGGACGTTGCCGTGTCCACTGGGCAGAATGAATATATATATATATATATATATATATGCATATATATATATATGTATGCACATATATATTAATATATGATTTATACTCTGAACAATAATGTATAAGTAGATTATATTTACATAGATTGAATATATATATGTATATATATATATATATATATATATATATATATATATATATATATATATATATATATATATATATATATATATATATATATATATATATATATATTTATATATATATATATATTTTTGCCGCATGCTTTCTTCATGAACAGACGTGTTTTTGCAGCGTAAAAACTTAAAGAAAAAACTGTATAAATTTTAAACTTTTAGTATATTTAATTCATTTTTTATATAATATGGCTTTTACATTATCAGAAATTGCAAAATTGATTGAAGGCTATAAAAATCTTTATTCTGTTCTAAAAAAACGTCTTAATTACATCTTAAAAAGACGTCATTCGGCGTTCCTATTTAGAGCCATTTCCGGAAGTCCTAAAAAGACGTCCTTTCGACGTCATATGGACGTTGCCGTGTCCACTGGGTAGAATGAATATATATATATATATATATATATATATATATATATATATATATATATATATATATATATATATATATATATATATATATATATATATATATATATGTATATATGTATATATATATATATATATATATATATATATATATATATATATATATGCATATATATATATATATATATATGCATATATATATATGATATATATATATATATATATATATATATATATATATATATATATATATATATATATATATAAATATTTTTGCCGCATGTTTTCTTCATGAACAGACGTGTTTTTGCAGCGTAAAAATTTAAAGAAAAAACTGTATAAATTTTAAATTTTTAGTATATTTAATTCATTTTTTATATAATATGGCTTTTACATTATCAGAAATTGCAAAATTGATTGAAGGCTATAAAAATGAATTCGAATTGATGTTAAAACAACAGGAAAAAGTTTTTATCGATATTATTAGCGGAAACTTAAAAATATTCAATGGCAGAATGGAAAAACTTGAAAAAGATAGAAGAATTGAAGTATAGTTTAAATTTTCATGAAGAACTAATCAATAAAAAAGTTAAATAAGAAAATGTTTTTAGTAAATAAGACAAATCAGAAATTACACGCAAAAGTTAAGGGATATAGAAGATCGATCGAGACGTAATAGTTTAAGAGTGGATGGAATTAATGAAAATGAAGGTGAAAGCTGGGAGGAAAGCGAACTTAAAGGAAAAAAAGTTTTTGAAGAATTAATACCTGGTAAAATGGCCCAAATTGAACCGAGAACAATAGTGACAAAATGTTTGGATTTTAAAGATGTTGCAATTTGAGCAAGTCAAGAATCTGAAAAGGAAAAACATCTATATAAACGAGGATTTCTGTTCTGAAACAACGCAAATCTGGAAAGGTTTGAGGGAAAAAATGAAAATCGATGGAGCAGCTGGTAAGTCTGCATACATATCTTATGATAAATTGATAATTGGCGATTGGATTGCAAAGAAAAGCAAAAATTCATTTTCATAATACTTTTCATTAATTCACGGAATTTTATTTTTACTTTTACTTATTTTAAATTAAACTTTTTTTATAATGGAGAAAAATTTTGTAATTAAATTTTCGGATGAAAATAACATTCTCGGTGATTATGACACTGACTCAAGTTATCTTAATCACAAAATGTTAGAAATTATATATTACTCCGTTTCTGAATGTTCGCAACATCTTAAACAAAATAAAAGCACTTTTTCAATTTTAAATATCATTATTCGAAGTTTGAATAAAAACATTGAAAAATATTATTAAATGATATTATTGAAGAATATTATTAAATGAAAAAACACGATTTTAAAATTATATGTCTGACGAAAATTTGGTGTAAAAGTGCTGAAACAAATTATGGATTTGATCTTGTTAGTTACGCATCAATTCACCAACCACGTGAATTTAATGCAGGTGCCCCCACCTGCATTAAAGTATTTTTATCCATGATTCACTCAATTATATTTTACGTAACGACCTCTGTGTTAATGAAACAGATTGTGAATCATTATGCATTGAATTAGTAAATAAAACTGAAAAAAAACACAATTATAAATAATATTTATAGACCACCATCCACGGTTAGCACGGATCCTTATAATGCCTACCTAGCTGTCCCAAGAACGCCACTTATACGGAAAGTTAGCGTACACATCAAGGTACCCTGTGATGCAAATTTTGAAATCATTTAATTTTGTCCACGGAAAATAATTTAATTTAAATCTTAAAATCAACTAGAACGATGAAATGATAGAGGATTGCTGAAAGTGTTAAAGATAATGTGAGGCTCAACCCACCCCAGTTTGGTGTCCTTCACTGGGACGGAAAATTGCTAAAAGACATACTAGACGTGCAACATGAACAGTTAGCTGTGCTTTTGTCGGGTGTTCCAGAATACAGTGAGGGAAAATTGCTTGGTGTTCCCGTTCTTGTATTTGATACCACTGCCAGTAATAGTGGCATCCACAATGGTGCTGCTAAATCAATTGAAGAAAACTTAGGTCGAAAACTTCTCTATCTTGCCTGTCGACATCTTATTTTTGAAATCTTTGTCGGAGCATGTTGGAAGAAATTATTTTTGGTCCAGAAGAAACATTTTTGTTCCAGAGAATAAATTCTTTGCTGAATTTAAAACTGCTTGGACAGCATTGGATAAACAGTTGCCAATCGAAACTTTAGCTGTTGAAGGCACCTGGTTGCAAAACCTCAAAGAACAGACCATATAGCATTTGACACATTTACTTGCTAACGAAGTTGCTACAATATTTCCAAGAGATAACTTTCGTGAATGTGCTGAGAACACACTGATCATCTTTGGGAAAACTCCACAGCGGGGTGTACACTTTCTTAAACCAGGAGCTATCCACCAAGCTCGGTGGCTGGCATGTAACATTTATGCGAACAAAATGTTCATGTTTTCTAATCAATTGCCTTATGATCGGAGGATGAAGACTAAACTTTTTAGAATGAACAGATATCTTTCTCTTTTCCACACACCAGTTTGGACAAAAGCTAGCATTCATAGGTGCTGAAGCACCTATGAATGACCTTCAATTCATCCACGACATGATGGACTACAAAGAAATAGACGAGGAAGTTAGTGATGACATTCTTTCTAAAATAACCAATCACCGATGGTATTTGACAAAAGAGGTAGTTCCATTTGCTTTCTTCAGCAAACATATTAGTTCCACTGTGAAAAAAGATACGAGAGTCAAACTCTTGGAAATTCCTGTACCCGAAAATTTTCGTCTTGGTAAGCCAGTTTTTCGTCAAATCACTCGTCGAACAGGTTTGTCAAATCTTCTGGGACCTGAATCTTACTCATTGTTCAGCATTCTTGGCATCAATACAGATTAGCTTGCTAAACCAATTGAACAGTGGACAGAGCAACCAGGATACAAAGAAGCTGAAAAATTTGTTCGTACGGTTAAAGTTGTAAATGATACTGCAGAAAGAGAATTGATACTGCAGAAAGAAAAAAAAGATACCGCAGAAGGAAAAATGATACCGCAGAAAGAAAAAAAAAATGATTTCAGAGTTTGCCACCATCATAACTAGTGATCCAGAACAAAGAGAATGGTTGCTGCAGGGCGTTGAAAATCACAGGCAGCAATATCCTAATTTTGCCAAAAAAACTCTTGGACAATGAAACAACATTATTAATGTTCAGAAAGACAGCTTTAATTTTAGTTTTGGGGTTCCCGTCTGATACTTTAACTATAACTGTTAACCAAAAATGCAGAACTAGCTTGGTTAAACTGGATAATTTAACATATATTATGCAAGCTACTTTGTTTAGCTTAATTTCTTTGTTTTAATTTCTAAATACTTGAAAAATGAGATTTACAATAATTATTCCTCTGTGTTTGAACTAAAGATGATACTGTTTTTAACAGGAAATTGGGGCTTGTCTTATGGGGCTCTGAAGAGGCTCTAGAATAATTATTAAAATTTGATAAAAACTTTTTAAATTATACACAAACACTAGAATGGGAACAAAATTCAATTTGAGTGGTTTTGAAAATTTTTTGCATTGTGGACACTCCTAATATAGTATATATATATATATATATATATATATATATATATATATATATATATATATATATATATATATATATATATATATATATATATATATATATATATATATATAGATATATATATATATATATATATATATATATATATATATATATATATATATATATATATATATATATATATATATATATATATATATATATATATATATATATATATATATATATATATATATATATATATATATATATATATATATATATATATATATATATATATATATATATATATATATATATATATATATATATATATATATATATATATATATATATATATATATATATATATATATATATATATATATATATATATATATATATATATATATATATATATATATATATATATATATATATATATATATATATATATATATATATATATATATATATATATATATATATATATATATATATATATATATATATATATATATATATATATATATATATATATATATATATATATATATATATATATATATATATATATATTATATATATATATATATATATATATATATATATATATATATATATATATATATATATATATATATATATATATATATATATATATATATATATATATATATATATATATATATATATATATATATATATATATATATATATATATATATATATATATATATATATATATATATATATATATATATATATATATATAATATATATATATATATATATATATAATATATATATATATATATATATATATATATATATATATATATATATATATATATATATATATATATATATATATATATAATTAAGGTGGTCATTAAAACAACTTATTTGAAAAAAAACCTGCTTCCACCCCTAAATGTGTTCTATCTAATACAAAATACTAGGTTTAAAATTTTTTAGAATAAAAAATATTTAAAGGGGTCCCTCAAGTTTCTTGAATATTTAATTTAATCCCTTTTATTTTCAAAGAAAATTTTTTTTATAAATATGTCAACTTTGTACTCAAATGAAGTAAAACTATATAAAAATTAAAATTTCACATTTTTTTTATAAGTCATAAAACAAAAAAAAAAAAACATTTGTATAAAAATGATTATTATTTTTGAAATTTTTATATAATTTTGCTTCATTTAAGTACAAGACTTACATATTTTAGAAAAACTTATTTTTGAAAAATATTAGGGACCAATTCAATTATCGAGGGTCTTGAGAGACTTACTGTATTTGTATTAGATAGAACATATTTAGAGGGTAGGAGCAGGTTTTTCTCAAAAAAGTTGTTTTAAGGGCCACCCTAATATGTATAAATATATATATATATATATATATATATATATATATATATATATATATATATATATATATATATATATATATATATATATATATATATATATATATATATATATATATATATATTTATTTATTTATTGAGATAATGAACCAATAATTTATTGCATTATGGTTAAAATGATAAGTTTTTGTGAAATAGTTGAAATTATAACTCTTAATAACTCTTTAATAAGTGGTTTATTAAATTGTTGTGGTATATCAAATGATAGAAAATTTAAAATACTAAATAGTGGTATAAATAACTCCATACTGCCAAAAATGGACTTGATGCATTTCCCTTGTATACCGATCTCGTAAAACTACCGCAAAGCAGGATCGGCTTTTGGTTTGGGCAAGTTAGTCCAAATCGTTTCGCCACGGCTTTAGATCTTGCAAGCTACATGTGGAAAAAATAATGAAGTTCACCTGGCAGCAAAGACAAATAGAAAACGCCTGCAGCAAACTGGTCTGAATAGAAGAATTGCTGCGAAGAAGCTGGTTTGAATAGGAGAATTGCCTTTTTTGCGACCTGAAAACATTGCGAAAAGTAGAGCATTCGCAAAGATGCACAAAACCCGTACTGTCGTACAATGGAATAAAGTGTTATGAAATGATGAAAGTACCTTTACTGTTTTCTGTAGAGCTAAATGCGCTTATGTGAGGAGAAGAGTTGGTGAACGATTCAGTTCTCCGTGTGTAGCTTCCACAAAAAAGCATGGAGGAGGCTCTCTTATGGTATGGGGTAGTATGTCAGGATCAGATGTAGGTTATTTATATCGTTGTATGGGCACGGTAAACCGGGATAAATATTTGGAAATATTAAAAACACAAATGAAACCATCAGCAAACAAACTATTTGGTAAAAACAAACCATTTCTCTTTCAACAGGACAATGCTCCTTGACACAAAACTAAGAAAATAATGCAATATCTCAAACATACTCGTACCAATGCTATCGAATGGCCATAAAGTTCTGACCTGAACCCCATTGAAAATTTCAGCTCTTCAGAAAAGTACAGAAAACCAAACCCAGCAATCTGGATGATTTGTGGCAACATTTGCAAGCTGCAATCCATGTTGACACCATCCAAAAGCTGGTACAGTCTATGCCAAGACTTGCACAGGCCATGCTTGATGTGCATGGAGGGCAGTCTTTTAGTCAGAATTTTTTATGTTTTATTAGTGGCGCTTGTTAACGCCAATGCAGAGTCATTTTTATTACAATGTGGTGTGGATTTATTTTTTATTGTGCCAAAAATGAATGAAATTCTTTTGTTTTTCAACTGTGGTCATTCCACAACTGTATATTTTTATTTATACTGTATATTTTTATTTAAACTGTATATATTTAATAAGCTTTACTTTGTGTGAATTATGAAATTATATATATTTTTTAAAACATATATTTGTAATTTAAAAACTTAATACTATTATTATTATTATTATTATTATTATTATTATTATTATTATTATTATTATTACTACTAGTATTATACTATTATAGCCATTCCAGACGATTTTTTATAATTAAATTATTCAAATATGATTGATGTCATTGTATAGAGCTTGGTTTGACTCAAAAAATAAGGTGTCATTCGGTTTTTGAAGTTAAGCGGATCAAAAGTTATTGACCTTTTTATAGTGAAAAAGGGTGATTTTTGACAAAAGATATATTGCTGAAATATGGAAAATTTACCGCGAAATGGCAAAGAAAAGGAGAGTATTATTAACATTTGAATAACTTTTAAACCGATAATACATTTGAGTTGAAATTTTCCATTGCGACCAATTAAATAATAAAAGGTAATAATATTCCAATTTTTTTTTTTTAAATCTATTAGGATCGACCAGATTCATCTATTTTACAGACGAAGGATTTTTACAAATTTATATATTTTGGGGTCATACTGACTTTTAAAAAACTCTTGAACCTATAATACATTTGACATAAAATTTTCCATTGTGACCAACCAACTATAAGGAAATAAAATTCTAATTTTTTTAAATAAAAATCTGTCGTTATTGATGAGAATTATCTATTTTACAGACCGAGGGTTTTTACTAATTTATATATTTTTGGGGTCATACTGACTTTTAAACAACTTTTGAATCGTTATTACTTTTGACTTGAAATTTTTCATAGTGATTAAACAACTATAAGAAAATAAAAAACCAAAATGTTATTTTAGGAAATCTGTTGCCATTTTCCAGAATCATAATATACAGCCTGAAGGGTTTTATATTATTTTCTAATTTTTTGAAGAATAAAATTTGGGGTCATATTATAATTATCCATGCGTGAAGATATACCTATTACTCAAAATCAAGTTAGGATTTTCCATCCCACCCTTTCCCGACCGCGTCATGAACCGCGTTATAATGATTTTTAATCTTTTTTTAAAATAAGATTATTTTTTTCTTTTGTTTAAAGGTAATCCAGCGTGACAAAAAAAATATATATATGAAGCAACTTTTCGATGTTATTCAAATCAGATGGAATCAAAGAACAAACCATTACAACAATTCAATAAACCAATACCTGTTGCAGTTGTAAAACCGTACAATCCAGAACAACCAAAACCAAATATATATATGTGCGATTGAAGTTATAATCAAATACATAGTTGGGAAGTTCGTTAAGAGCTAATATATTTTTTTTATCAATTATAGAAGTTGTTTTTTGCATTTTAAATGAAAGTTTTAAATTTTACTTAAAAAAGTGCTTTACGATTATACAACTTTTTTCAACCTGTTGGAAATTTTGTTATATCAAGTTCATTACAAAACAAATATCTATATAAAATCTGAAGAATTTACAAAATTGTTGCTAAAACTGTTCTTGTTTCCGTTGCAGCTAATATTATTTAGCTGCAACGGAAACAATTGGAATTATTCATTTTATTCTTTGTCAGTTTATAATCAAAATAAATGAATATGAACCTGAAAGAAATGAAGACGAAATGTAGAGAAGTGTTAAATAATACTGAAAAAAGAAAATATAAATTAATCGAAGAAATTATGGACAAGTTAGATTGTATTGTAGAAATAACAATCTTTACAAATTTAAAAGAACTTTATGATTTTCGTTTTTTATTAACGTGTATACGAAAAAAATATTTTTATATTATTGTTATTGATACTCCGGGTTATAACGAGAATCAATCGAGTTTCGAATCGTTTATCATATGAAAATGTGATATACATAACAAAAGTTTAGTCGTATTATTAAAACGCTTGGAAAATTTTGTTAATTATTATAAGGGTTACGAAAAATTTAATTTAAAACACGAGCATGTATACGGTTGTATTACAATATTTAATAAATTGAAATTATACAAAAAAAAATTTTATTTTTTTGTATAATTTCTTTATCATTTTAAATTTTTAATTTGATTGATTCCATAAGATATTCCTCCCGAAACTGCACCACCCAAAGCGGCTCTTCCTACTATAGGTAAATGTCTTGGTAAAAATCTTGAAGCAATTGCACCTATTGCTCCTAAAAATTTTCTACGCATTCGTTTTTTGTAACGTCTTTTTAAACGTCTTTTATGTCTTTTTCCTCTTAGTCTTTTACGCATTTTAAAAATAAATTTTTTTGAACAAGTGTTTTTTTTTAACGTATTATAGAAGATAGTAAATTACCTCCTAATAAAGCGCCTAATATCGGAAGAAATTTACCGCGTATTCGTTTCCTTCTACCGGCTCCTTTTAACGGAGGTAAACAAACTTTTCCTTTTCCTCGTCTTTTATGAATTCTTTTTCTTCTACACAATCTACACATTACGTTGTTTTTGCAAATAATCTAACGCTAAACCTTTTACGTCTGATCGAAGTAAACGCCTGGCAAGATTTTTAACTCTAGTTATAATTTTTCCTTTACCTCGATGTTTATGACCTCTTCTTTTACGATAACGTCTTCGCGCCATATAATAGGTTTTGAGAAAGAACAAATATAAATGTTTTTTTTATATTTTTTTAAAATTAAATAGTCGTGCGTGCATAAAAAAATACAATTAAAACATGGTTAATTTAACCAAAACAAAAATGTTGTAAAAGGTGTTATGATGATTTAAATTTGAAAGGATAATATGTGTAATTTTCGTCTTCTCCTGTTCCAGTTTGAATCAGTTGTGCCGCATGTTGAAGGTATAGTGTTATGATACCTTTAAAATTGGTAACAAAATCAACAGTAATTTGTAAGGAATTGTTTCCTTGAATGGTAGCCGGAGGTTTGTCGTTAACAAAATTATAATCGCTATTCGTGTCAATAGCTAAAAGTTCAGTTAAATTATGCGTTTGACTTAAATAATCATTAGGGTTTATAATAAAACTATCGTCGTCACTTGTATAAAAATCTGCATAATTATTAATATTAAGAGTAAAAGGTGTATTTCCTTTACACCAAGAAACATAACTACGATAACATAATTGTTGATCTTCTACTTTGTTTTCTAAATCAATTACATAAGTGTCACCTGAAGAATTGACAAAAGTTCTTCTAAAATTATGAAAAGTAATTTTTTTAATCATAGTGCAAGCCATTTCAACAGGTGTCATAGAAGTTTTGGTAAGATGATCGCTTTCTTTTTTTGATTGAACAGAAAACAAAACACAATGAGGTACCATGTCAGCTTTTTTTATATTTCCTAAGCTTTTTGTAACAGAATCTGTACATTTTACGTTAGTTATAACTTGTTCGTAATGAGCAAAACGAGCTGTAGTATAAGGCTGGTCAGGGTAACTGTTTATTTATAAAGATTTTTCTAAAGGTAAACTGGCTTTGATTCGGTAAGTATTGACCCAAATTGCAGGATTTCTAATTTCTAGTCCAACACTAGCTAAAGATTCTATTTGAGCATCAGTTATAGGTCTTATATATTCTAAAAGTTGATTAGTATCTTGTTCAACAGTAAATTCGATTTTTAATTCTTTACCTTACCCGTAATAACTTTTAATTTGAAAAAATTCACATAACAAAAATAAGGGTACTCTAAAACGATAACCTTTTTCTCCGTTCATTAAAGCATTATAAGTATTTTGTAGAAATGTTTGATATTCAGGTTTAACGGAACTATTCATTGCTCTTATGACCGCATTAGCATCGTTTGATTTCATAAGATCTTTTGTTTCATTATAAGTTGCTCTGTTAAGTGTTTTTTCTGTAAGTGCTAAATTATGGTTAAGCATATGTTCTCTATATGCTTTCATATAACTCTTTTTAACAAACATTGTTTTAAATCGTTGGTACGCTCGATTATTTATAACGTTATTAGATGGCATAGAGTTATTTTTTCGATAATTTGGATATACTCTTATATTTTTGTATATATAAAAAATAAAACCTTCTACCAAACAAAATAGTTCTAATAAATCAAGATCTGAGTGATATGCTGTTTTAGCAAATCTTGTCTTTGTGTTTATGTTTTTAAATAAATGAACATCAAATTCAAAAACATAATCTTCCGATATTGTCCATTCGTTGAATTTCATAGTAGACGTAATTAAACTTTTTAATTCTGAAGTTAAATCAGGAGTAAACTTTTGATAATCAGTCTTAATGACTTCGTCTTGAGCTACAGCAGTCATAAAACCAGGATATTTTTCGTTTAATGCTGCTTCATTTCTGCACTAATGTTACCGCTTGTCGCTTTTCGCAAAAGACGATTTTCAACTTCTGCTTTTTGTAAAACGTCATTAATGGTAACGGGTCTGTTATGGTTAGGCGTATAACGGTTACCGTCTCCCGCTCTCATGTATTATGCTAAAGAACCCATCTTGATATAATTTTTTTTTTCTTCTTTAAAAATAAAAAAACAAGAATAAAATTTAATTTATAATATATTTTTTTTTTTAATTCTATTTATTCATCTTCCAAGTCGGAAGTAATTTTTTTAAATGGTAATTTTTTGTTTTTAACGTCTTTTAAAGTTCGCGTGTAACCAAGTTCAATTAAACTTTTTTGATTCATTTTTCTTTTTTTTCTTTTTTTTCAATGTTATTTTGCATAAAAGGACTAGATAAAATAGCTCTTTGTTGTATAATGCAGTTTCTGCACAAACCGTGAACAGCGTCTACAGCTTTAACTTCTTGAAAAAATTGAGAGCAAACGTGTGAAGTAAACGTGACTTTAGATTTTGATGGTTTTTTTTCAACATATTCTTCTTCTTCAGAACTTTCGCTTTCTTCTTCTGAATATTTTACTTTTTTACGCTTTGGTTTTTCAGTTTCGTTTTTTTTAATAACATTTTTTTACGTTGAGGTTTTTCTTCGTAAGTGTCTTGCTCTTTTTGTTGATGATTTAATTTTTTTAATTGTTCGCATTTTCCATCCAAATCTAATTTGATATTAAGAACGTCTGCTTTAGTTGAAAAATGAGACATTTGATTTAGAAGATTATAAAATTTTTTTTGAATTTCATTGATTTGACTTTTTTGCGGATTTTTAAAGATTCCGTTATTTTCTCGTTGATTAAATTTTTTTCATATCTTCCTCATGCTCGAAAAAGAGACATTTTTTTTATAATTTAATTTTTTTTTAAAAAAAGACATCTTTTTATAACAAAATTTATATTAATCAAATTAAAACACTTTATTTTATACAAATGTTAAAGTTCAAGTTCTTTATTTTCATAACGTTTTTTTTAACTTGAATGTTTTTTTTAAGTTTACAAAAAACCCCAAAAAATATTTTTTTTTCTTATTGTAAAATGGTACCATTTGTATTTTGAAAGTAGGATTAAAAAAAACAGTAGTTCTTTATTAGTGTTCAAAAAAGTCCATTTGGTTTTTTTCCAATCTTCTACGTCTACAATATCAAACGTTGTCAATTGTCCTTGTATTTCTGTTTTTCGATTTTTAGTAAAATCGATATTGACTGTTACTTGAGTAGCGTTGTTATAATCTGCCAAATTAAAATAAGAAACAATTCCTGTTTCGTATCTTCTGTTTATGTACATTCCGCAATCGGTAGCTTGATCACATTTAATAAATATTAGGTTGTCGGTAGAAGTGGGAAAATTAGATACAGAATTATTAAAGTTACTTATTTGCATCAAAGTATATCTTAAAAAAGCGAGTTTTCTTTTTAGAATTTTAAAATCTTGAGCCATAGTATAAACCATATTTTGGTATATTTCTATATTAAACGGATTAATTTTGTTTGTCTAACTGTATTGATCTCTTTGTAATAGCAAAGTATAAGGTACAGGATTGTTTTCAATGGGTCGATACATTTTTAAAATAATGTTTTTAAAAGATAAATTGTTAGACCAAGAATTTATGACAGAACCGTCACTTTTTTTCTGACGAATAAATTGTCCGTTGAGCGAAGTGCAATAAAGTACTAATTCGTTAATGTTGTTACCTTGCAATATAGATTTTGATCCGTTTAACCACGTTTTATAACTAGGTGTAGAGGCTCTTTCAAAAGCAGCCGTAGAGGTACTTTTAAAGTTGGAGAGGTACTTTTAAAGTAGGAGAAAAAATTGATTTAGTTTGCTCGCAATAAATCAAAACTTTGATAAATGTTTCTGAATTGTATTTAGCAATCAATGTCCAATCTCCCGTCATTATTTTATAAATGCCTTCGGGAAAATTAGAAGGAGATGTAGTAAACGTGTTGAGTGAACCAAATTGAGCACGATACGGTGAAATTTGGTTTCCTTTCATTTCAAAATAATTGTTATATGTATTTGTTGAAGCGATTATAGCTTTAGAAAATTTTAATGGTAATTTTAAATTGATTTCGTATGTATTTCGTTCAAATGAAGGTAAACACCAAAAAGTATAATAATTTTAATAATAGTCGTTAGGAATGGATGAAATATTGTATTGATTGACGAATTTTTGATAAGAGTAGATATTAGTGCCTTCATAAATAAATTGGTCAAAAGTAAGATTATTTAACTTTAAATTAAGTAAATTGTTTGGCAAGTTGTAATTTATAGTTTCTGTAAAAATATGCATCATTTTTAATTCACGTTCAGGCCATATGATTTAGTCGACGTTAAAAAAAGGTATAGGTAAAGAAGCTAGCGATATGTTTTGTAAAACAAATCGATAATATTTTCTTTGATTAGTTTTTGGAAAAAAGATTTGATAAAAGCAAGCAAACAATTCTGTAGGTTGTATACCTATAGCCGATGGAGAGATGTAGAAAAGTTTTGTACCAAAAGTACCAAAAGCGTTTTTTAAAATGTCTACAAAACTAGTCAGTGTCATTTTTTCTTCTGTATAGTTGTTGTTAGCGTCTTTAACGATAACTTGATCGTTCCAAATTTTCCATAAAGCGTTAATTTAGATTGGAATTTCGTTAAGATCAGTTTCT